GGGGGGTTCAGCCCAGCAGGGTGGATGCTCTGCTGTCTGTTTTCTGGGGTGTCCTTGGGATGGGTGCTGCATGTTTCTCTGAGCCTCGGACCCTGCATTCTCAGATTTGAGACATGAGGGCTATGTAGTGTCTGAAATACCCTTCCCAGCATCTGATGGGCTAACCCCCTCACCTCCATGTCCCCAGATGGTCTCTGGCACCTCCTTATTGTCCTTTTTACTTCTCCCCTGTGCTCATAAAAGAGTGTGTTTTAGATTTTATTTTTAAATTCCAAAGAGAGGGAGCCCCACTGGTTTAGGCGGGTGGATTTAAAAATCAACCGAGCCTATAGTGGGACAGGACGCTGCCTGCAGGGGGAGGGGACTCACTCATGGTTCCTGCATGGGCACCCAGGACTTGAGAAAAGAGCTGCTAGTCTTATCTTGGTCACTTTGGGTTTCTCATCAACCCAGAGAGTTTCACAAGATAACCTTACTTTATAATTTATGAAATGAAGGTGTGGCTGCAAGATTTGCAGGGAACAGATGAGATTTTGCTTCAAAAGACAGGGTGTTTGAATGAAATGTAAATTACTGAAATATACACATTGCAAAATTCCCCATCAACAGCAGAGACTTGAATAAAAATACTTTAAAAGTTTAATTCAGAATTAGAGGGATTTTTGACATTTCAGGCTGGTCACAAGATTGAAAGTCAGACTCAAGTATTGCAGTTCCGTTTTTTTCAATATGAAAGTCAGACTCAAGTATTGCAGTTCCCTGTTTTTTTCAATATAAGTCTCATTTTATCTTTGCCATGATAACATCTACAATTGAAATATGACCTCTAAGCAACCCTCCATTCTCTCATGTCCAAAGATAATTCAAATTTAATATAATAATATACAAACTGCAATATTAATTCCTAATTTAATATGGCTGCCTCTGGCTGAGGGAAGCAGCTAATTGGCACACTTATGGAGGGAAAAAGGAGAATGTATGACCAAAAGCCTAGGAGCAAGCTCCCCTAATTTTACACAAGTGCTAAGGATTCCTATGTCCAGAGCAGACAAAACTTGCTTTTTTATCATCTGAGCATAGTGAACTGCTTGCAGATCATCTAATGAATTACTTTTTTGCCAAAAACTATAAATGGGTTTACCAAGTAGATTTTGTTGCAGGCAGATTTATTTTAAGAGGAAAGGGTTTTTTATTACACTTTCTGCATTAATTGGACAGAAATATTAGAATACTTCACCCAAGTTGAATGTTTTCTGATTCTTGCTATGGGGTACATAACACTAGAAGATCTGCTTCTTAAATACACTATCTTTGCTTGCTAAATGTATTTTGGAATGCTTTTGTTGTTTAGTCAGTACCTGAATTTAAAAAATTAGAAATGCAGCTTGTATACACAATGTAGATATGTTAATAGTGTATGAGGCCATTTTAAAGTTAACTCACTGTAATATAACTTCTGGGCTACTAGAGCTATATTGTCCACCATCTAGTCTTGCTTGATTCAATTTCCTGGACTGTGGGTCAGTTTCAGTTCTGAATACAGGCTTAATTGGCATGCCAGTCTAGAGATGAATTCCTTCTTACATTGCAGTAGTTCTCTTTCTGAAATTGGGGGGAGGGGGGGAGATACCTATGAGAATAATTTAGTGATTTGTGCATATCAGAATTGCCCTTTAAATTACATTAATATAGCCTTTTATTACCAGGAGGAGAATGGATGTTTAGTTAGAATAGTTATCCTGGAAACTCCAAAGTATTAATAGGATACATACTCAGTTTGTTAGTCTGGGGTAGCTGAAGCAAAATGCAGGACAATGTAGCACTTTAAAGACTAACAAGATGGTTTATTAGATGATGAGCTTTCGTGGGCCAGACCCATTTCCTCAGATCAAAAATCTGATCTGAGGAAGTGGGTCTGGCCCACGAAAGCTCATCATCTAATAAACCATCTTGTTAGTCTTTAAAGTGCTACATTGTCCTGCATTTTACTCAGTTTGGATATTTTAGGTGGCCCGTTGCTTTTCCCCCCCTAGGCAGATACCTATTCATTTGCATTAGGAAATACCCAGGTCTAGGGACTGTATTACTCAGTCTTACGGAGTGTCTCTCTACCTGGAGAAATGTTGCTAGCCCTTGCTAGATAGAGGGGTACTTCTGGTGACCATTCCTGCAGCTTCACCATGTTCTCTCTCCTTTCCAGACTGATGCAACACAGTGGTATCTAAACTAGGATATAAGCTAGAACAGCACTAGCTCATTGGTTTTCCATATACTGGCTTATTAGAAAGGAAGGGTAAAAGCAAAAATAGTAGAGCACATCAGAAAAGATGTGATAATACATTTCAAAGACACGCTTTTGAATATTATTTTGGTTCTTACATTTCTCCATCTACACAGTTGGATGAAAGCTGGAGAGACACTTCCATGAAAAGAATGTTTTGGGGCCATTGCCATGAAGTGCATCACGTTGTTCTATTGTTAACTTAGCTAGTGTTAATATGTTTAATTACAAACAGGGCTCGACAAATAGTGTAATCTACTCGCCCATGGCGACGGGAAGAGCCGGTGCGGAGCAATCTGCGCATGCACAGGGTGCAGAACTGCGCGGCTGGCAAGCGGTGCTTGCTGCCGCTTGGCGAGCCCTGATTATAAATAATCAAGTCCTTGCAGCTGCTTGGCTTATTTTATTGCTTTAATCCATGTATGCTTTATTATGGTTTAGTACACTTGTTATATTACCTCTCTAACTTTTATTATTCTGTAAAGTTACACTTATTTGAAAACATATTTAATACCATCAGTTGGAAATTGATAGAACAAGAGATAATGAAATCATTAAGTCCGGCATGTGGAATATCACTGAGGTCCCTAGTGGGACCCGTATTTTTCACGATTTGTTTAGAAGAAAACTGAGCTAATTAGAGTTCCCAGGTAAATTATCATTGAAAAAGACCTACAAATTGGGTTTGAAAAATACGCCTGATATTGCCAAGCAGGAAATGTTCATGTTAAGAAGAACAGCCCTCCTCCATCAATTTGCAGAAAAGTGAGAGGTTATATGTGTTTCTAGCTTTTAGGGTGGCAAAGATAATTTTCCAAATGTGACCCAGAGCTGAGTTAACAGACTAGGGATGTAATAGTATAGTCAATTAACCGATAAGCAAAAGTTTATAAGTTAATGCTATAGACTACACGCATTCTTTCCCTCCTCCCCCAGCCAGTAAAATCAGCTCCTAATACATTGCAATGTAAGCCCAGGGTTAGTAGAACTCAAGTTAGCAGACCCTAGGTTTGTTAGGAGTATTAGGGAGCCAGATGAGCCGGCAGCCTGGCTCAGTTCTGGCTTGAGCTGGGTCCATGAGCTCAAACACCACCCTGGACAGGGGTTGTATCAAAGGCAGCAACCTAGAGCAACAGGCAGCCAGTCTATGAGGGGAGCTGGTTTTTAAAACTGGCACTGAGGCACAGCTGGCACAGGGGAGCTGGCACAGAGGCAGCAGTGCAGAAAGGCCAGGGCTCCACAGGAACAAGGCCGGAGCGCACTGGCTGCCGGCCCCACCCCTGGGGACTATAGACTAGTTGACTAACCGATAAGAATTCATGAGGTTAATCAGCTATTCAATTAACAGATATTTGACATCCCTAAAACAGACTGCTCCATCATTTGCTTTGGCTGCTGCTCTGAGCAGCAGCAGAATGAAACTGGCAAGTCTCTGGTCCCTGCTGCTCTTCAGAGTGGGCATCAGTGAAATTGATAAGATTCATGTCGTTTTAACTCCGCTGCTGCTTGGCAAAGCTCTGAGTAGAGCCAGGGCAGGTGCTGGAGGTGTTTGCTAGGGAGGAAAAGAAAAAGAAAGTTGTGTGATAAAAGATCTTTCATGTAATGTCAGGGCTTAAGGGGTGAGAGATCCCTTTCCCTTCTAGCAGGTCACATTTCTGGCACCTCCTGTTCAGACTGATGCAAAAAACAGAGCTCCTGAGCAGAATCCAGAGTCAGCATTTCTCCAGAAATCCAAAACCTGGCACTTCCCAGCAAATGGGAGCAGGACTGGGCTTCTCACCAGAGTATTGTCCTAAACACTCTAGTGAGCCCTTCATCTCTATCCTTAGCTTTGGTCTCTGCCTCTAGTTTACTCCTTGGGCTAGCAGGTGTGGGGTGAACTTCAGTCACTTATCTAAATATCACGGAAACAATGGAGGAAGGGTGTGAATCTCTGAAGATGGTAGTTCAAGGAGCAGTGACAGGTGGCTGTGGAATCAGGGTGACCTGGGTGATGCTTACCAGTAACCTGTTAACTGTGGTGCAGCAGGCTGGGGGGCGGGGAATGGAGGCTGCTCGGGCCAGGCACAACGCAGCAGGCCAGCTAATCAGTTAAGCATAATGTAACCACTGAACATTGTAAATGGGATTTTACATCCCGTCCATGAAACTGAACATTGTAAATGGGATTTTACATCCGGTCCATGAGAGGGATAGGTTAGACATGAGGAACATATTGACAGGAAAAAAAAATTAAGGCAACTGGTCACACCACTGATGATACTTCCACATATTAAATACTGCATGAATGGGAATTGCATGTAAAGGAAGTTTGCACAGTGGAGAATGCTGGTCTGAATGGCCCAAGGGATCTCTTCTGGCCCTGTTTACTTGAGTTAGTGATCCCCTTCTATATGTGACTGTGCAATGGATTTTTCCATTTCACTGAAGAAAACAGCTTGTGGTGCAGTAGAGCAATCTCAGTAACACCAGTCAGTTTCATGTTAATGGGGACTAGTACTCATTACAGCTGCTGTCTTTTGTCCTGAAATTTCTGCTTGATTGTGCTCTTTCATTAACTGAGATGCTTGGGTGTTTTGTTTCTCTAGTAATCCACTGTAGATGTTCCAGATGCTTTTCTTTCCCTTCAAAGCGAAGGATAAGAAAACGGCCTCGAGTTCTGACATTGCTGAGTCTCCCTGAAGCTGCTCTCTCCATTCGAGCTGTGAGTCTGCTAAGCCACTTCATGCCGTAATGGGATGGGGCTTACCTCTGCCAGTGTGAAGCTCTGGCTCCCAGTGGCAGGACTGGACATGGGGAAGGCTGCATCCTCAAGGCAGAGTAAATCTAATTAACGTTTTCAGGAGGGAGCTATCTTGCCAAATCATTCTGACCAAAAACTCTGTCTTCAGTTAAGCATGCATATCTCATTTTCCAAAATTGACTTTTTTCTCTGTCTGAATCTTAATGTAAATAAAGCACAGTCAACCCATGGAGCTCGTTGCCAGAGGATGTTGTGAAGGTCAGGTCTTTAACCGGGTTCAAAAAAAGAGCTAGATAAATTCATGGAGAAGTCCATCAATGCCTACACCCAGGGTGGGCAGGACTAGGGTCCCTAACTTCTGTTTGTCAGAAGCTCAATGGGCAACAGGTGATGGATCACTTGATGATTGCCTGTTCTGTTTGTTCTCTCTGGGGCACCTGGCGTTGGCCACTTTCAGAAAATTCTGGGATAGGTGGACCTTTGGTGTGACCCAGTATGACCATTCTTATTTTCTTAGGTAGAACTATAGTTGTACAAAAATCTACTTTTGCCATGTTAACATGGCCCTAAGAGTAGACCAAAATAATAATTTTCAGTAGAACCCTGTGCATTGTAGTAATGTACTTTTGTTTTTTCCCCTAGGTGCATTCACATCTTAAGTACCTTGTAGATAATCATGCTAGTGTTTGGGCATGTGCAAGTTTTCAAGAAATATGGCCTTCTCCAAACAATCTGAAGATGTTTGAAAGGTAACAAACAGGAATCAAGGCATGGTCTATGCCAGGGCTACTCAACACAAGGCCCGCAGTTCAGTTTATGCAGGGTCATGGTCTATGCCAGGGCTACTCAACACAAGGCCCGCAGTTCGGTTTATGCAGGGTTCAACAAGTGGCCCATGGGTAGGATCTTTTGAACGTGGCCCATGGGTAGGATCCTTTGAACGTGGCCTCCACTGGGAACACGTCTTCCAGGTGGGGTGAGCACTGAAAGATGTAAGCGGGTGGGCTGGCTGGAACAGATGGGTACAAGGTGTCGGTGTTTCTAGCCCTCAAAGAGGTGGTGTCAGGAGTGCTGGGGCATTGTGAGAAGTGCTTTGTATTCATGCCCATCAGTGTGAAAGAAGCTATTTGCATAGATTTGCATGTACATGCAACCACACTTACGTTGTGGCCCTCAGCATGTGCTGTGAGTATCATCGTGGCCCCTGGGGCTTCCAAAGTTGAGTAGCCCTGGTCTATGCATTAGGGGTTTTCAAAGGCGCAGAGAAAAATTAGGTAGCCAGTTCCCACTGACATTCAAAGACAACTGGACACCTAACTTCCTTTTCTGCCTTTGAAAATCTCCCCGTTAATGTGATTACAAGCACTTAGTTTCTTGTCTACGCTTCATGTTGAAATTGTCTTGTTAACTGGAACAGGGGCCATAGTTGTATCTGCAGTGTAAATGGAATCTATCTACAAAGTGCTCTGCAGTCCTCTGATGGAATGTAGTGCATCAGCTGAAAGTATTGCTACTTTTCCCTGATAATTGTTTCCCTATAAACTTGTAGGCCAGAAACCTGGACCAAAAGACTGCAAAATTGTGTTTTAAAAGCTTTAAGACTAATACTTAGACTCATTCCATAGTTTAACTTTAAAAAATCTAAAGTTGCAAGCAAAAATTGTATTTTGAAAAAGTGAAGACACTATTTGAAAAAAGTATGTATGGACAAAGGCAGATCATAAGAGCTGAATCTGTCTAGTGACTGTGTAACCGTCCTATGTGTCAGAGGTGAAAGTTCTGAATTTTTCCAATGCGTTCTGGAGCTGTGGCCACCTAGTAGAAATAGGAAGGTCTCTTGCTACACTGAAATCTTCACGATTCAGATGCCCCCAGACTAAATCTGAGTAACCTTTTTGTACTCTTGCTTAGGGCCGCTGAAAGGGGTAACTTTGAAGCTGCGGTGAAGCTGAGCGTAGCATACCTGTACAACGAAGGCTGTAAGTGTGAAAGCAAGTCCTAGCAATGGCAGAGGGAAAAGCCATGAATGATCTACTTCTGTTTAAAAGAACAAAAGTTGTATAGTAAAGACAAATCAGAAAGCTTGGATTCTTTTTATTGGCTGCGAGTCAAATCTTTATACCTAGTACTTTGGGTGTTTGGATTATTTTGTGCACATGTAAGACAGACAGATTACATTTCCCCTCCTCCCCCACTTCTGAATATGTGGCCAGGTCTTCTGTACCATTGTGCTTGCTCTGTGAGAGCTGCCAACAGCACTGCAAGCATTTCCCTGGCCACTGAAATGCTGGGGCTGGAATGCCACTATCGCTGACCCTTCTGAAAACACCCTAGGCTGAGAGCTACACAGCACTGTGGGCTGACTGTGACACAATTCTGCTAATGACTTTTGGTCATGTCATTTTGCCTATCAAAAGTATCACAATGAATGAATAGTAAGAGAGATGTAGCCGTGTTAGTCTGGTCCAGCTGAAACAAAAGGCAGGACTATGCAGCACTTTAAAGACTAACAAGATGGTTTATTAGATGATGAGCTTTCATGGGCCAGACCCACTTCCTCAGATCAAATTGTGGAAGAAAATTGGCATGACCTTCTATACCAATGAATGAAGGGGAAGCCCTGTTCCATCCTTCTGCCACCTGTTACCATTTGCATGAAACCATCCTGCTGACTGTTGTGCTGTAGCTCTATTACATGCCAGGCAGATCTTCTGGATTCGTTTCTGTTCCCTCTTTAAAGCATCTGTTTCACTTATTCAGTGTCCATCTCCGATGAGGGTCGCGCAGAAGTGAATGGGTTAAAGGCATCTCATTTCTTCAGCCTGACAGAACGTCTGAATGTCTGCGCAGCCCCGTTTATCTGGCTCTTTATTCGTCCCCCGTGGTCTGTGAGTGGAAGCTGTTGTAAAGCTGTGGTCTACGAGAGCCTCAAAGCAGAGTGTCAGTTGCAGAAAGTAAGTGGTGCTCTTTCTGTCTGTGGCAGTAGGGCAGGACAGCACATCAGAATTACATCTCCATTTTTCTCAAGAATATCTTGCTCTCATGCCACTTTTCCCACTGCTGAAAATGAAAGTTAATCCAGAGCAAAATCAGTGTGCAAGAGAGGCACTGCTTGGTAGCTGTCCAAGGATTGTGCCATGATTGCCCTTGCGGGTTAATTTCCATCTCAAAATTGATGGAACAGTGAAGGTGGGAGCAGAGAATGTCAGTTCATGAAAGGCCAAGAGCAGACACAGCTCTAGCCTTGGGACTGTTTTGGAGAAGTCTCTCACTTTTTGGTTCTCTTTAATAATGTATACTTCTAAAACTCTCTTTTAGGCCCAGAAAGGATCTATTCTGCACTGCTTGGCTAAGGTTTTAAGTCTCTTTGAGGTGGGTAATGTTCCTGCTGTTGGGTTTGGGAATTTGGGAGTTTCAATTTTACAATACAAACGTCCTCTGACTTTTCAAATGCTCAATGTGTTATGTTATTACCTTCACCTGGGATTGAATCAAGTGTCCTTGGTTCCCCCCGGTGTGAAAGATTTTTACTTTTTCCTTTAGTGGCAGAAGGGCCCGAAAAGTCTGTGCAGGCCCTTTACTATTTAAAGGGAAAGTGATTTGAAATCTAAGTTAAGTTTCGGTGTGGGTCAAATCCCGGGCCATGTTTTCTGCTGCATTAAACTTGTGCAGCTCTGTTGACATCAGCTGAAAGTAGATGTAACTACTAGGCCTGCTTGTTGGGCTTACAGTATGGGACATCTGATAGTGTCCTTTTGAGATGTCACGCTGCGTTCCAAAGGAAGAGGCATACTGGCTGCTCGGAGTCCTAAATTGCTTTTGATTACCTGCGGAAAGCTGCAAAAGACGGTGCCTGCAGTGGTCCCGGAAACCATCTTGAATATTTTGGAGGAGGCTCCCGATGATAAAAGATTCTGGACTGTAGCTTTTAATCTGAAGACTTTCTATACCTCTTGGGGGCTCATGTGCCCTTCTGACTGGGAATGTACCATAAAAAGGTTAAACATTATTTATTTTTCAGGATGAAGAAAAAAGGAAAGAAGCCCTTGAAATGTTTGAAGAGTCTTCAAAGCAGGGTTGCTTAAACAGCTCCTACCTCCTCTGGGAAAGCAACAGAAGAGCTGCTGTGAGTACATTTGACTCTGAAAACAATCTTTTCACCTCTAATACAGTGGCACCAGGAGTAGAGCTCTGTGAAGAGTACTGTGTATGTCTGAGACACCAGCTGTCTAAACAGCCCAGGTGGATTAATGGCGAGAGGCAGTAGTATCTGCTTTTTACAGACTGGGAAGATAAATGCAGAGATTCAGTGACTTGTCCACATCACGCTGGAAGTCTGTGGTCCAACTGAGACTTGAACTCTGATCTCTTTAGTCCCTGTTCAATTCCTTAAGCCCAGGATTATCCTTCACAGAAAGAGGCTGATGGTGTGAGGCTTTTCCTACAAAGGACAGAAGAGCAGAAGTGATCCCTTTGGCTAGGAGGTGTACTCCAACCTTCACAGATACTGTACCAAATGGGTCTCTGCCCTAGACAAAAGGGGCAAAGCCTTAATGCTGTTTATATTCCTTTTCTCTAGATGTCCGATCCTGGTAGATATCTTCAGAGCCTCAGGAAACTAAGGGACTATGCAGCAAAGGGTTGCTGGGAAGCCCAGGTAAGACTTTGACTAATGACAGCAAGATGTTGGTTTTTTGCATGCCCTCTCCATGCTGGCATAGAAAGGCACGAGCACTTAAACGTGGATCAAGTGGCTGGCCATTAAGAATGGAAGCTAAAGCGCCTCTCAGAAAATACTTAAATGTACTCTGCAAAGTAACCTTCAGAAAATAACTGCACTTGCACAAAAACTTGAGCAAGGGCTCATCTTTAGTCTGAAGAGCCTGTCCCAAAATCCAGCACACGTGTTGTGTGCAACGTAACACCTGTTTGTTCTCAGTGTCTCTGGAGTGGGCCCCATAAGCTAGGCTTCACTGTATTTAGAATGGGAAAATGTCATGGGTTCTCTCTCACTTTCAGTTCAGGTTGTTTCTCTGTCCAAATGGGAAATAGCTCACTTGCTATTTACATTTCCCCTCTTGTCTGCCTGCTGTAGGTATCTTTAGCCAAAGTCTGTGGGAATGGAAACCAGCTAGGATTAGAAGCAAAAGCCTCCAATGAGTTGGTGTCTCAGCTCTTCCAGGCCTCCCTCCCAGTCAGAAAGCAAAGCATCTTCACTGTGCAGAAGGGAATGAACGAAACAATGAGGTAAAGACAAGCTGAGCAGTCAGGTCTCTGATACAGAAATGTGGATGACATGGCAGGAAAGGCTGCTGCTGTTTCCTTGGGCTAGTTTTAGTTCTGTCTGGGAAGAGATGCAACCTGCCAGATCATTACGCTCTTTGCGGACTTCTCCATTAGTTCTGAGATGCAAGCAGTGAAGTGCAATGGCGAAGTTTGTACTTTGTGAATGTTGCTAATTACACTGTGCTCCTGGTTAGAACCAGCATGGAATGGATTCTTACTTTGATACGTTCATATTTTAAGGCATCTCTTACCTGCAGTTTGCATTAATTTGCCAGTTTGCCTAAATACCTACCATGGTCCATCAGCCCCACAGTTTGAGTCAAGTGTCTGCCCTTTTAACTAGATGCAACAGGACACTTTACTGAAGTCCTGTTTTGATGTTCAATATTTTGTTGGCTAATAACTTTTGAAAGGATAAAAGTCTTACGTGCAGAGAATCTCTGATGTCACAGCTGTTGTGTAGCACCTCTGGATGGCTACTGTGACTATCTCCTATCTAGGTACATCCTGATCGACTGGCTGGTAGAAGTGGCCACCATGAAGGATTTCTCCAGTCTCTGTCTTCATATGACAGTGGGGTGTGTTGATCGGTACCTGAAGTTGAGACCTGTATCCCGGGCCAGGCTCCAGCTTTTGGGAATCGCATGCATGGTCATTTGTACACGGTTAGTATTTGATGCATCAATGGTGATGCAAACCTAGCCTGTAGCTATCACATTCTGCTTTCTCTACTGCACTAGTAACAGCTAAAACTAGCCTTCTTTGTCCCTTTACAGGACAACTGCTCTCTTCAGTGTAAAGCTTCTTAATGTTTCCAAATGTAACATAATGATGCTGCTGCCACCCAGGCACTTATTTACATATGGCACATGACAGCCCCTTTAAAGAACTATCGTCTTAAAGTAGCTTAGCATGAGAAATCCTACTAGGAACAGGTCAGCACTATCCTTGGGATCAGCCCCTTTGCCATAAGCCACTCAGAAAAGCAGGTGTGCACCTACGTGTGTATTCAAGCTGTTTGGAAAACAAGACTTTGTGGCAGAGAAGAAGCATCGTGTTCCTGGCCTACTGTGTTATGTGGGATTGATTCCAGTACTTCTGCTGTTTCCAAGGCTCCAGGGTTTAAAAAGAGATGCTGCCAAACAGGAGACTGAATTCCAGGCACAAGGAATAGGTCTGGTTCTGCAGCCTTTCCATGGAAATTATACCTGTGAAAATGGCTCTAGGATTTGGCCTTCTAATCAGTGCTATGCTAAAGAAGCCGGATGAAGTGAATGGTGGCATTGACAGGGCATTGTCTTCTGGAAACACTTGACGTTCTCCTAACCTGCACTAACTTCCCTGTCTTGCTTGTGCAGGTGTCTCTGGGACACCTGGCACGGGCCACTGTGGGCAGACACTGAGCTAGGTGGACCGTGATCTTGAGCCAGTCTGGCCATTGTATGTTCTCCATTGCAAAGGATAGCTGTGGCTGTTTGCATGCAACCTGAGCTCAGCGTGTGTGGCTCTGCCTTGGCCCCAATGCTAACGCTCTTCTAATATTGCAGTTTCATTAGCAAAGAGATCTTGACAATACGGGAAGCTGTGTGGCTAACGGACAACACATACAAATATGAAGATCTAGTCCGGATGATGGGGGAGATCATCTCTGCCCTGGAAGGCAAGATAAGGGTAAGTTTGGAAAAGCAGGAGGGTGGGGGTGGGATGCTAAGTCATGGAGAGTCTGGGGAGATGTGGAGCCTCCTTCTGCTTCTCTGTAGACTGCATGTTGTTTTGGGTGTTCCTGGCTTCTTCAGTCAGCACCCTTCCCTGCTGCGACAGGTGACCGGGCTCTTTGAGTAAGCATGTCTGAGGATCGTTGTAAATAATTCTGTACCTGCAAGCACGTGATGCGATTGCACTGTAGGGAAGTCAGGTGTAACCCCCTTGGAACCAAGTCCAGAGATCTTATGTATGCCTGCAATAGCATCTGGGAAACCTCTTGATACCACTGGGGTAGTAAAAAGCCATCTTTTATAAGGAGCCTCCGTGCAAAGGGGTCACATGGGAACAATTGCATTCTAAGTGCAGTGCGTTGTGGAATTTTGTCATTGTTCTCCTTTATGCATTAGATACCTACTATTGTGGATTACAAAGAAGTGCTGCTGAACATAGTGCCCTTGGAGAGAAGAACTCTTCACCTGTACAGCTTTATCTGCGAGCTCTCGCTATTGAACACCGGTCTCTGCGTATATTCCCCTGCCCATCTGGCTGCTGCAGCACTGCTACTGGCTAAGATACTGCACCGGCAAGGTAAGGAACAGGCATAACTGGGCCTGCAGGTTCCACAGGGTAGCATGTTCATCCTGCTGTTCCTCTAGATAGCAGTTTGTGCCAGCCTGCCTCCAGTCACGTTAGAGATAAGACAGTTGAGAAGGATGGGGTGGGTTTGGCCCTTTTCCCCAGTAATTGCTGTGTCAAGCTCAAGCCTTGCTATGAGATGTGGGTTGAAGAAATGCCTGAAGAATTTTCTTTAGTAATTCTATGGACTGGATTACACTGCACGGAATCTCTCCGGTTCTGCCACCTGCAGCTGTTGGAGCCCCACAATTGATTCTGAGTTTTAAATGGATTATCTGCAGGCAGGATCTGCCTGATTTCTGCAGTACAGAGCTCTAGGTGCTAATGTGTGTATTCCCTTCTCCAGCACATCCTTGGACCAGCCAGCTGTCCGAATGCACTGGATTCTCTCTTGAAGACCTGATACCCGGTGTGCTGAGCCTATACCAAAAATGGTATAACCTTCAGAACCTTGCTGAGTAGCGCTCAGTGCAGGGAGTGTTACAGACCAGCAGCAAAGTCTTGATAATGACGCTTTGCTATTTCATTAGTGTCTCAGAACTGAGGCAGTAGCATTGGTGAGAGTACACCTCACTCCCCCCGACACGGGAGAGGTTGGAGAGCTAGAACATAGCTCTGAACAGTGGCTCTAGGGAGTGTGCATCTCATTACTACTATCCTCAGCCTGCCCAGTGTCCTGAGTCACAAGGCTGGGATTTGCTTATTGGCAAACTACAGGAAGATCCCCAGCAGGGCTGGAAGCTCCTCTGTGTCTGACAGTATCTCAGTGCCCAGATCCCGCACCCTGCTGAAAACATGACAAAGTGGCAAGGAGAAGAAGGGGGAGGGGGATGTCTCAGAAGCTGAGCTAGTCCTGTTACTCCGCCTCCCTGATGAACTGCTGTTGGCCTGTTACCTCAGAACTGAGAGGAAACGTTCTCCGGAGCCGTGAAGGGAGGGTTTAGGTCAGAGGGTTCTTTCTATCAACTTTGTTTCCTGACGTGCCTTGTAAGGCCTGTGCTGTGATTTTCTGTCTTCCCAGTTTCCATGATGATGTCCCAAAGGATTATAGGCAGGTGGTGTTGACGGCTGTGAGACAACGATTTGAAGATGAGCGCTATGAAGAAATTGGCAGGGAGAAGGTGAGGAGTAGCTTTATTGTTCTGTTCTCCATTCTTAAGCAGAGCAACCAGTGTAGTAGAGATCCAATGCCCTGAAAAGTAACAAGTGCAATTCAGTCCCCCAGGGAAGGTGAAAAATGCAGTGGTGTTGGCATTACTCACACTTGGGAGCGAGCTGGACTATCCATGCCAAGGAGACCTACTGATCCTAGAGAAGCTTTGGGCGTTTGGTGCTGGGAGGGCTGCTGGTGTCTGACTAGGCTCTCTTGTTTTCTAGGTGATGAGTCACAACCAGCTGTGTTCATTGTTAGGTGTGAAACAGGAGGACCCAGAGCCAAGTCCCTTACACACAAGTCCCGAGGAAATTCAGACTTTCCTTAGCTCTCCCTCTGGAAAGAGAACTAAAAGGCAAGTCAAACTAAGCTCTGTTCTACATGTGGGCTCTCCTGTGTTTGCAGCCACTTCCCTTCTTCTGAGCTGCCATTCAGTCCTTCACTTCATCACCTTTACTCTGCTTGGCCTCTTCCTCTGGGTGGCTGGAAGGGAAAGTTTGGGTTTCATGTCAGCGAGTTTCACTGTGGCCAAACCAAATGACCAGTTGTATCTTTAGCATTTGCTGGAAGAGTTGCGAGTGCCAAACGCGTGAAGACTGGCCTGTTCCCTGATTCGGGATGACTTCTTCCATGTGTGCGCTGAGTGAGTAACCTCTGAGTTTCCCTGCAACAGGAGGAGGGAAGACAGCATTCAGGAAGACAGGGGCAGCTTCGTGACTACACCCACAGCTGAGCTATCTACGCAGGAGGAGAGCCTTCTGGACAACTTCCTGGACTGGAGCTTGGACACCTGCTCTGGTTATGAAGGAGATCAGGAAAGCGAAGGGGAGAGAGAAGGAGATGGTAAGTTGTGTACTTTTTTCTTGGATTGCACTCAAGAGAAACCAAGCGCTCTTCTCGGCAGCCTCCCAAAGTCCGGTTCCTCTTGCTGGACAGGTGCAAACGCTTTCACGAGGACACAGTTGCTGAAGGAAGGTCCCTTTTCTGGTGTAACAGGGTGATTCTTCCCCCCAGTCTGTAACTGCCAAATGTTTGAGAGGCCAACATCTCTTCCCACTTGCTTTGCTGCAAAACGTTTCCCTGCAAGACTTGGAGGGCTCTTGCTCTGTGGCAGCAGCTGCTGGAGTGTAGAAAATGCAGCCAGCATTTCTGAGCATTGTCTGTGCTGCTGCTGCTTCCAGATAGCACTGGGCACTTGGAGCCACGTGCTGAGTGAAGGAGAGTCCTCAGGACTGCATGTAGAGGGCTTGTGCTGCCCCCCTAATCCAGGAAAAGCTCTCTAAGGAATCTGGCTGTAGCCAGCCATGCAGTGGAGCCCGGCCACCCAGGAAAGATCAAATGTTGCCCAGCAGCTTAGTAGAGCGCCAGCAGGTGATGCACATCCACACAAGCACATAATAAAATGTATTCCACATATGGATAGGAAAATAGAGGGAACACTGGTCAGATCTAGAGACTCTCCTGTTTTAGTGTTGTGACTGCAAGCTTTTTATACCATGTCCCCACTGCGTGCAACAGTTAGAACATAACATACCTGTGGATGAGAAGTCCCCACTTCGCCCAAGGGAGAGTCAGAGCATGTGACTTTCTCTGAAGCCCCAGAGGGAGTTAATCACCCAGGATTTAGAACTGGAGTTCCTGCCTCTGACTCCTCAGCTGCTCAGGTAGATGCAAATCACTCTTCTGTGTCCTCTTCTAGTGACCGCTGCCAGTGGAGTCCTGGACGTAACTGTGGTCTACCTGGATCCAGCTGAGCACTGCTGTCAGGATTCCAGTGATGAAGACAGCCTTGCTTCAGAACAGCCGGGCCAAGATAGACCAGCACGGGTTGCATCTCTGCAGTCAGATGCAGATAAACAGTGGCTCGCTGCTCCTGGCCAGAAAGAACCCCCACTAGAAGCCAGCTCCGGCTACTCCTCTGTCCACAGTGCCAGTCCTACTTCCTCGGTCGATGGCAGCTTTGGAGCACCGCTCAAAACTACCTCAGCGCTGTCTCTAGGGAGTGCTGTGAACAAGGGCCCACCCCTGCCTCCCTACTTGAAATCACAGTTACAGTCTGTCTGGCCCAGGGCTGCTATTGGCAGGGCGGAGAGAAGGCAAGTCAAACGGAAAAACGTGGCTGAGCACAGTGAAGAGGAGAGAATGAACTTGGGCTTCTTGAGCCTCTGATTTCATGCTGTTTGCTGTCTGTGCAGATGGCTCTTGGAACCAGTATTGTGGCGTAGTGTTGCAGGGAAGGTAGTGAATAAATCAGTCTCCCTAGCAGCCTCCTGCAAGGTGCCCATACCCATCCTGCTCTTCAAGCTCCATTGCCTGCTCCTGAGGCTTAGTGCTGACCCATCTTGGTTTTTGGCAGCTGCTTTTTAAAATATTCCCCACAGCCTTGATCCTATGCAAATTGACACCTTCTCCTTCTCCACCCCAGTGCTGAGCATGTGGAAAGAAAACCTAGAACCGCTGGGTGCTCCCTAAAGCCATCTTGATTGTACAGGGCACTGCCTAGTGGAAGCTGACTTCTGCATGGGAAGAGGAAAGAATAAAACTGCTGCTATGACCTGTTCTTTCCCCAGCCACTCGTAATGGAGGAGACACTCCGGCAGGACGCAGCCATGTGGTGGAACTATCCCTGCTGCAGCCTTCCCTTTGTTCCTTCTCTGGAGGCTCCCAGCTGCTGCCAGGTGTTGGCTTGCTCCCCACCAGTGCCCCTCCCACTCTCTGGACATTAACTACACTGCCCTAGGGCATGTTCTGGAGCCAAGCAAAGGGTGGTGAAAGTAAAAGGAGATACTTGAGCTTTTAAACACCCCTTCTCTGGGGCAGACTCTGGGCTGCTGCTGTCCCTTAGTCCTACACTGTTGTAGCTCCAGTCAACTGAATTACTTTACATCAATGTCAGTCAAGCCCTCCCTAGAGCTGCATGTTTTTCCTCAAGTGAAGAACACCCCATCTGTGCCCTACCACTCTCCTGCCTGGTGCCTTTTGTTACAGCACCACTGGAGCAGGCTGCAAGAACTTGGGCCCAGTGTCACTGTTAGGTGCTGTCTTTATTGCACAACAGATTTTCTTTGTGCTGCCAATGGAGCCAATGGGCAGGTTTGAATTTCCTTTGAACACTAGATCAGAGGCAGTAATGTGACAAGAACAAAGAAACCTGCATGAAGCCTTATCCTAGCCACTCCCCATGGCATCCCAGACAGCAAGGGGGAGCTGGTGCTTTCTCCACACTACTGGACAAAGGATTCCACATCTCATGCAAGCTGTATGAGAAGAGCAAAAGCCCCAGGAATCTGAGGGCCTCGAGGCTATTGGACCCAACAAGTGAGTTGCTCCAAGAGGGACAGCGGCGCTAGTGCAGGGTTGGGAGATGCCATGGTACAAGACTTCTGGCAGCTGCATGTCCTGCTCCAGACTGGATAACACTGGACCTGTGCTCTCTGCTTACCTTCCTGGGATTAGAAAGGGTGGTGGCAGAGATGATGCCCATTCACAGTGTAGCGACTTTTGTATAAAACAGCCCTTTTGTACTTGTTGCTATGTTTGTTATTTAAAAAAACACAGGAGGGGGCGGAACAGTGATTGTCTCTAAGAAGCTGACTGTAAAGAGGTTGCGATAGGAGAACGCATCTAACTGGGACCTGCTGCAAGTTCCACAAGGGCAAAATTACTTACTTAGCATCTGGCAGCAGCCTTCGGGCTGAGGCTGGTAGTTACAGCTGATCAGTGATCTGACCCACTGTTATTACAAAACAGACCTTAGCAGCTGCAACCAGCAAGGGCCTTTAGTGTGAGCCTTTATGGACTGAAAAGCAGCAGCTGATCAAGCACACTGCCACAGGCACAGATAGGAGCTGAGCTGCCTCCTGGCCCTATAACTCAACACGTGAATTTTCTGCCTGAGCTCAAGGCAATTTTTTTTTTTTAAGATGAGGTGGTTTTGATCTCAAGTGTAAGGAATAGGGGGTGTCTAGCCACTCCAGGGAGCCAGCCTGCATGTTCAAAGGTAAACCTCCTCGCTTCCTTCTCTCCAAGTGTGGAAACACATTTCCTGTGCTTCAGGGGGTAGCTGAGTTAGTCTGTACAGGGTAAACCAACAACAACTGGGCTGGTAGCACAAGATGGCGAGGGGACCATGCAGTGGCACAGCCCCAGCATCAGATGACTGGTGTGTTGGATGGCCAGAACCAACAATAACCTGATTCTTGGGTCCAGGCAGCTAACACTGCAGTCATCTGAAGTGGATGTTTCCTCTAGTCTGGCTCCTGCCCATTTGCCCCCCGTAACAACGTAGACTACAGGTGCAGGGGCCAGACAGCAAACTCCCATTCTGGCTCTCAGCTCCATCGTCCACAAGAGCATCCCAGCCTTGGACGAACGGCACCTGGAGCAGCAGTTGAAGAGTGAGGGGGCTTGAGTAGCAGGGCCTCCCTGTGCTGCAGAATCTTTACTAAGCTCACGGGCTGGAAGGGAGAAGGTCTCACTGCTGGTGCTTTGTCTTAGACAAGCAACTGCAATTTCCTTCCAATCAGTTTTGGGGGGAGACACCCATCTAGTGGCTAGAGAGCAAGAACCCCCCCCCTTCTAGTTCCAGGCCGGCCCCTGCTTCCGAGCTCAGCCAAGTTCCTTCACACACAGGCCTGCTCCCTCCTCAGGAACCCTGCCTTCCCGGGGAAAGGCCAAGTCGGATTAGTAAAATAGCGGCTCCAGGCCCCAGATCAGCATAGGAACAGCCTGGGCTCTGTCCAAGGAGTTTATTACAAAACAAACAGTGTTTACTAGGCAGGAGTCACATTCACAGTCCCTGATTCTTTCCCCTTCCCAGGCTGTATCCCCGCGGCACTGCTGGGTAGTTCCAAACCAGGTTAATGGTCACAGTAGCATTGGCTCAAGTGTCAGCTTTCTAAAAATCACTGTAAAAGCTCTAAAAACAATCCCCCACTCGGAGTTCTGGAACAGAGGTGTCAGGACAGCAGGAGCTGGCTGCCCCCACGCAGGGCCCTTCCCACACGTCAAACCTCTCACACTTTTAGTCAAACGTCTTGAGATCTGAAAAGCCACAAAGAAGAAAATCAATCGGGGGCTAGAGCACAGATTTGGGTGGACTTGACCAGCTGCCTGCTCTCTAGGGAGCCCACATCCCCTGCCCACCTTAGATCCCAAGCTGATGGACACTCGAGACACCTAAGGGCAGAAGACAGGCTGGTCCTACTGCCATGGGCTGAGAGTAGGCCTGGGAGCCTCTGAACATGGCATGTTGTCCAAGCTCAGCAAAACTAGAGCTACCTGTGCTTCTGGGGAGGGGCTGGAGTGCCTGCTGCTAGGTGTCCCTGAGAGCAGAGCCCTGGGTGCCTGCTTTGATGGATGAGCAGCTCTCTACCCCACAGTGGGGCATGCTCATTCCTCCTGTCCTCCACCCAGCGAGGACTGACTAGACCTGCCGTCAGAGGCAGAGCCAGTCAGCACTACAGAACAGGCCACGCATTGAGCTTGCTCCAGCCTTTAGGAACAGCCAGCCAACCAGCTCCCCTTATACAGAGCAGGGCCCCTAGGATCTCTTACCCCTGTAAGAGCTGCTGCGTTCCCGGTAATGACAGATGGGAGGAGTTCGGGAGAGGCCTAGGGCCAGCCAGGTGAGCCACCCCTCTTCCTGATGAAACCCTACTCCCTCAACCCCCAAGGAAGTTCTCCATGGGACCCAGCAGCCAGTCTCAGCACTACTGGAGGGGAGCTGGGAGGCAGGGCTGAGGAATGGAAAGTGAGCCCCCCGGCATTCGAAGGGGTAACACCTGCCCCAGAGGGACAAGGCTGTGGCCAGTATCCCTGGGAAGGGGATGACGGCTGCCCACGCGCCTTACCTAAGGCACCACCTTGAGATCCACTGAGTCATAAGCGGAAGCTCCCCTCATCTCCAGCGGCTTCCCCAAGAGCTGTCGCAGCGCCTCGTAGTCTGGCCTCTCCTCAAAGGCCAAGGCCATTGCTCTCTGCAGGTAGCTCAACAGGGCATCTGCAAAGCCGCAGACGCCAGAGGAAAGGCCTGGTGCTCCCCCCCGCACACACCGAGTTCCCAGAAGACACCCCCCCTGCACAGAGCAGATGGAGGAACGAAGGCCCTGCGAGGGAAGCACCTGCCCCTGCCACCCAGCGAGTCACCAGCACCACCAGGACTAGAACTCACATCTCCCAGTTCCCGCCCCTCGCTGACCATTGGCCCTCATCCCACTGCAGCGAGGCTGGGCATCCGCCCTCCCCCACTTGCATGCCGAGTACACGGGTCCCCCTTCCAGCATCATGCAGCGCAGTGAGAGAAACTGGCTCGTGGGGGGGCCTGAGAGCTGGCATGCGTCACCCCACGCAGAGAGCAAGGGTCTTTCTGCAGCTCCCCCAGCCTCACTGGGCAGGACCTGCAAGGGCAGCTCTTGCGATCAGAGGGGTTAATTCAGGGGCAGGCCGGCACTGCAGCAAATGGCTGTGGTGAGACGGTCACCAGCCGAGCCTGCTTGGGGAGAGGCCAGTTCCTAGCCTCCCACACCGCGACCCACGGGGACGCCGGGAAAAGTCCGTACCTGGCACTGGGTTTCGGCTGGAGCACGCCCGCAGGAGCCCGGCCACGTCTGCGCTGTACCTGCAGTGTTCAGCGCACACACAATGCCGTTCAACACGAGACGGGACCGCGCGCCCGAGACGGCAACAGTGGAAAGCGGACACGGGCTCAGCTCGCACCCTGCAGCCCGCTGCCCACACAGGGAGGCCGGGGGATCCTGCTCCGTGGAGGCAGCGCTTAGATTTCACACACTCCAGGGGCCCCCGCACAGGGCTCACCTCTCCTTCTGCTCCTAGGCCCTGTGCACGTCAGCCGGCGCGTCAGTCCAGGGCAGGGAGCCACACAGCCACTTCACCATGCAGTAGCCCAGAGACTGCAGGTCACTCCGGCGAGATGGCCCTGATGGGAGAGGAACCGCAGAGCTTGGGAGGCCTGGCCTAGATCTGAGCGCCCAACGGGGCCGGGCTGCACAGCTGGGAACACGTCCTAGCAGAGCGGCCAAGCGCTTAGGATTCCTGGGATCTCGGCCCAGCTCAGCCCCCAGTTCACTGCAACCCGGGAAGCACCTCTGGGATCCTCAGCTCCCCTGGGAGTGGTCCCCACTCGTGCCCCCGAGGAGCAGCAGGAGCTGACAGTGGTGGCCCTTGGTCCCCCGACTCGCCTCGCAATTCTGCCTGAGGAGATAAAGGGTGGGACGGACCGACCAGCCACGTCTCCGGTTCCCTCCCCGCCACGTGGGCCAGGCCAGATCCCGAGGGTCCCCTTCTGGGATGAGCAGGTTGAGCATTTCATCTCCAGAAGCGTCTCCTGGAGATGGCCATGAGCCCACACATGGGCCTGAGCGAGCAAGGAGTGCACCGTTACACTTTACAGATACCCACTAGACCACGGCCCCGCATGGGACAGAGCGGCTGCCTGGCAGGAGGGAGCAGGCTGGCCAGAGAGGAAACGGTTCCTGGCTGCAAGCTTATGGAGAACAGGGAGGGAGAGGAGACGGGCAGAGGGCAGGCTGGGAGAGGAGCCGTCACAGCCTCACCAGGGGCTGCGCTCTCACCCGCTCCTCGGTGCCCATCCAGGCTGATGAACTCGATGGTGCCCTCGTGAGGAGTCCTGCTGCCTTCGCGCTGAGCCACGTGCTTTCCTGCAGGGCAGTACCGGAATGCCAAGCAGTAGCCCACCAGGGTGACCTAGGAGACACGGAAATGTCCCGCTGGGCAGTGCACAAGGGGGGGGAGGTAACCCTGGGAGCCCCTCACCGCCCAATGGCCCCTCCTCAGTTGAGGCGATCCTCCCTCCTCCAAGAGTTCCAGGGGCCCAAAGCCTTTCCAAGACCGCGGGGGGCCCTGCGCCACCCCTCCCGAGAGCGCTCTGGCCAGGGCTCGGCCTCTTGCTGCTCCTGCCGGCCTCCCTCCTGCCTCTGCGAGGTCGGCTGGGTTCACGTCGATGGTCTTCGCCGGGCGCCCGGGCGGGCCCCCGGCCTCCTGCTGCCCCTGCCGGCCTCACTCCTACCTCTGCGAGGTCGGCTGGGTTCACGTAGATGTTCTCGGCCGTGACGTTCCCGTGCACGTACTCATTCTCGTGGAGGTACTCCAGGGCGTCTAGCTAGGGGCAGAACGGGAGACGTCAGCCCTTCGGCATCCCCACTTAGCACCGAGCCAGAGCATCGTCCCAGGCTCATCCAGTCCCTGGGGGCTGGGCATTCATTGGCCGCTAGCCCCATGCCCTAGTGCAACGTTATCCTACTGAGAGATCAGAGACGTGACCTGCTCAGTCTGCTGTACCGAGCTTCAGAGGTCGCTCGCGCCCATTGACTTGCATGGGTTTGCGGGTGCTGAGTGCTCCAGAAAGTCTGGTTCTGAGCAAGTCACCCTCGTACGTTGCTCGCTCTTTGGTGCGAGGGTGTCAACAGAACGCAAGTGATGCTGTTTGCCAAAGGCCATGCACAGGAATCAGCCACGGCCCAGTTCCAGGGTTGGGACCAAACCTTGCGAGGACCAGAGAGAATCCAGCTGTGAACCCCCCCTCCCTCCCCTCAGGGAGGTGCCTGCCACATACCACCCTGATGGCGATCTGGAAGACTGGTTTCTCAGTCAGTATGTTTGCGCCATCGTCCAGGATCGACTGAAGGCTTCGCCCCAGCGCAGGGAACACCAGAAACCTGGGAGGGGAGAGAACATCACATGGCACTTGGTCAGCACCTGTCACAGGAGCGTCTCAAAGCTTCTTTGGGTAGCTCAGGTACCGGTCTGGAGCTGAACTGGTTTCCCTTTCTCTCTAGTTTAGCAGCGGCCCGGCTTCCCTCTGACAGCAGAGCCCGTTTGGGGAGGGGAGAGGGAGACGCTGGCAGGTCAGCATTCCCACGGGCGTGTCTGCCAGGGCCCTTTGGGTTACCACGTTCCCGTCCCCAGAGCCAGACGAGGGGAAGCAGGAGGAGGGAGGGCTCTCTGGGCACAGGGAGGGTTCCAAGCCAAGCTGCACGCACAGGAGCGGAAGAAGGGGCTGGAGAGAACAGCAGGCAGTGGTAGCAAGGTCATCAGAGTAGCACTGGAATGCAGGAGGAGCAGTGCAGGAAGAGGACTTTATCTGCAGCATTTTGGAGGCTAACTGGGAGGTGAGACCAGGCTCACAGTACTCGGCTGAGGGGCCACTGCAGATACCGGGTCAGTGGCGGGGGGAGTCAGAAACGGGCGCTGTTGAGAGGGAGATGCAAGAGCCTGGCGGGGAGGGGGGAGGCCGGGGGCAGGGGGGAGCGCCCCAGCTGCCCCTGCAAACCCCCCGTACCTGTAGTTACTCCCATGGAGTCCAAATCCAATGCAATTTGGGATCCCCAGCAAGGGAACCGAGTGCATCTTCTTCCACTTCTCCACTAGGAGGACATAGGGTTACCAGATGGTTTAACCAAAAATACCGAACACCCTCCTCCCCCACCCAAAAAACACACCAGGAAAAAAATTCTATTGAAAAAAAAAAAAAGGGACCCTGACAGCAGTTAAGCAAAAAAAAAAAATTCAAAATCAGCACGGCCCCTTTAAGAGGCGGCTTTTTTGCTGGTGGCCACTTTGTTTTTCTGCCAGCCACAAGACAAGCCCCTGCAGAACCAGGTAAGCGGGGGAGGGGGGGAGAGAAGTGTCCAGGGGCTGGGCCCAGTTTTGAGTGGGTTGCCAGGTGTCCAGTATTTTCGCCTCCTGGCAGGGAAAACAATCAGAAAGTACCGGACATTTCAGGCGTTCAGTATTTTTTGCATTTTTTACTGGACAGGAGGCAAAAATACCAGACTGTCTGGGTCAATACCGGACACCTGGCAACCCTAGGAGGACCGGACAGACGGGCGTGGCTTTGCCGTGCTCCTGGCCAAGGGATTCTGCCAGCCAGGAGGGCACCCAGCCAGCACCTGGTGCAGGAGCCGCCTTTCCTCCCCCCAGAGACAGACCCGCTGTGCTGGGCCCCGGCTCATCCTGCTGCCTGAGCTGCCCCCATAAAGGCCACAGGAGCAGCCCCCAGCTGAGATATAGAAAGCTCCGTGGGGATCAGTGGCAGGCAGCAGGGGTGGCAGGATGGGGGAGGGGTATGAGGCTGCCAGGGACAGGGGAGAGGTGCGGGATGCTGCCACCCAAGTTACTGAGAGAAGGGGAAGGCACAGACCCCTGTGACCCATATACAATGGTGGTGGGATTGACCCGGATCCCTACTCCTGCTGCCCAGGCCCTAGACTTAACCCCGACCAGCCTGCCCCAGGCTCAGCTGGGCAGGACATGGCCGCTGGACTGCGGGAGGTTCGGGGGAGTTAACATGCAGTGGGGGAGGCAGACCGCCGGCCCTCGTGCGGAGCTGCCAGG